CTGCTTTCACGTCCAAAGAGTTGTTGCTGAATTTTTGCCTTTTTTCTTTTGTTTGTTCCTGCTGCCGTGATTTCAGCAGAGCTGTAACGCCGGTTGAAGGTGCACACTCTCATATGTACCCCAGAATCTGCATCCGGCTGTTTTCACGTCCCTAGCATAGTTGATTTTTATTTTATTTTTTTTGTTGTTCTTTTTTTTTTTTCGATTTATGAAGAGAAGCATAAAAAAAAACACAATGAGACCCAGGCTCGACAACTTTTGGTACACAGTGAAATTCAAGGTTGACGGCCTTTTGGCTAAGATCAAGTGTAGTATCTGTTCTGATTAGTTAAAAAAAAAAAAAAAAACATAAAAAAAAGGGTTGGCAAAAACAGGCTGGGAGGTGCTAGCGGTTTATGATGTTTGGGACGCTGGACCCGGTTTCCAGGAGGTGTGAGTGGAGCCATAGAACCTAGGCCCTCTTCCATCTTGAGGGGCTCTTACCACCCTGGGGCCTGGACCCACTAGCATCGATTTACGCTTCGATAGTTTGGTTTGTAACCACGTGGGGCGAGAGGTGACATCCGGCAACCATTGATCCTCTTGTGTATCTTCGGCGCAGGGCGATAAGAACCGATTTCGTGGAGGTATCTGTCCGCCGGCCAATAGAAGAGTTTCGTTTTCATTTTTTTGTCCATTTAGGTAGCCACTTCGCGTTGGCGCGAAGCTGCAATACTATGGTTTTTGAAGTGGGGGGGGTGTTTTTGAAGCTTCGCGCCTTGCTATTTTTTTTCGCAGAAATTGAGAATATGGAAGACTGCGAGCAGGCCGGCGGGAAGGTCGCATGCAGATGTACCGGGTTGGTGGAAGTGTGGATGCATAGCGTTGGCCTTGTTTTCTTTGCATTTCTGAAAATAAAAAAAGGATTCTTTATATGTTTTTTAAAAAAGAAATGGCTGCCACACACCGATTTACTCGATGCCAGTGGGTCCCGGCTCCTGGGGCCTCGACCCACTAGCGAAGCGTAAATCGGTGTGTGGCACTTTTTCTGCATTAAAAAAATGTCCAGAAATTGTTTTCGTCCATTTTTTGTTTCAGGCGATGAACACCAAAAAAATGAAAATAAAGTAACTGGCAATTATGACTGCCATCACTCATTATGACACCGGACCCAAAACGATGGAACGCATGTGACCCCGCTGGCTGCTGCCCCGGATGAATTCGGGTGGACATTGTGGGCATGTTCGGCCGCTGCTCTCGGTATGGAAGTGCAGCGCGGCCTTCAGACTGTGTGCTAGGAACCCACAAGACAACACTGACACATCTCTTCGCGTCGTGTTTCGTGGCCACTGCGCACAAACGACAGCCGAAGGACTCCGAATCCCACATTTTTCTACTGTTTTCAACGACAAAATAAGGAAAATCGAAGCTTCAAAATCACCCCATGGGTAAAAAAACACTGATTTTGAAGCTTCGCGCCAACGGAATGTGGCGAACAAAAACAGGCACAAAAGATTTTTAAAACTTCCTACTGGCCGGGTGCCATTACAACGGCCTTCCCCGACTGCAAAACATGACGGCAGTCGATGTGGATGGCGATCTGCGGCTGGCGTGAGTCACCCCAGGCCACACGTGGTCGAAACCAGCCGCGAAGCGTAACTCTTGACTAGTGGGTCGAGGCCCCTGGAGGCAGAAAACAGGGCTCGAACCGATGTTGACATAAAAAAAGAACGATGATAGGGGCGCATAGTTTTCGAAAGAAAGGATTTACTTCTTCTTTTTGTTGGAAGAAAAAGTGACGATAGTCTCCATTGCCTTTTTTTATTGAAAACCGACGGCTAGATCACTTGGAGAGAGGTGCCCCGCAGTGGGGGCGGAAGCCCATATGCGACGGCCCGGCAGCGACCGAGGATTGACCTACCAGTAACCTGCTGACCGACCGGCCTTGTCTTCGACGACCGGCTTCATGCGCGATCGTCACACATACAGATCGGATTGGATTGACCGCGAATCGCTGCCAGGGACGGTAGGGAGTTCCCCCCACCCCCGATGGTCCCCCCCGCTGGTCCCCCCCGCCCTGCCCCAACCCTCCTGCCAACCCGCCCATTTCCTCCGTTGCGGGTAACGCGCGGTGAGGTTGGTAGAAGTCGGTCATCCATACATCCTATCCATCCATTCCATCGATCTCTCCTGTATCCGTCTGCGTCTGTTCGCCAGGCATCTATGTGCACGGCCGTATCTCGGGACCATGCGTGCGTTCGATCGATGGATTGATAGGTCAGATATCTACTGCCAGTCCAACATGTCCGTCAGTCTGCAAGTCTGCCAGTCTGCCTGTCTGTCCGTCTGAGACGGGACGGAAAGCGAAGCCGCGAGAGATCGAACTGTAACGGTACAGCTCACGGAAAGAGATGAACTACAGGGAAGAGTGGCGAGCGAACGTGGGGGCGACACGTGGCAGCAACGCGAGAGAAAGTGAAGGGGAGAGAGGTGGGAGAAGGCCTTGTCTTATGGGGTCATTTCCCGGTTGATTTGAAGGAAAGGGGGAGAGGTGGGGAGACGGAAAAGGGGGGTGTAGGGAGCGGGATTTGGGTACGTATGACTGCGGGATGATCGACGAGGTCGGGAGGGGAAGGAAGAATCGAAGAGAGAGAGTGGGAGCTGCCTGAGAAATGCGTGCCACGTGGCACCAGTTGATGCTCGACCACGCCACGGCTACCTCTCGCGCGCCTAATCGTGTGCAGGTCATCAGAGTGCGAGGGACTCACGCTTTAACTTTGCCGCTTCTTGTGCTGCCGGTAGGTAAGGTGGTCCGGCTGGCCTGTCCGTGTCCTGGTTCTCCTTCTCCTCTTCTTCGTCCTCTTCCTCCTCTTCGTCCTCCTCTTCGTCCTCCTCTTCCTCTTGCGGTGTGTCATATATCATTAAATGGCGCCCTACCATCCTGGAACGACGATTTTGTATGGATTGGGTTTGAGTGACGTGCATTGCGCGCGCGCGCGCACACACACNGAGAGAGAGAGAGAGAGAGAGAGAGAGAGAGAGAGAGAGAGAGAGAGAGAGAGAGAGAGAATGTTGTCGCTACGCAGGCAGTCACTCTTTCAGTTTGATGCCATTTTTCTGAGAGGAATTGAAGGGTCAAGAGAGACTAGCGAAGAGTCCAGAGGAAGGGTAGCCGTCGTTGAAGGGCATGTACAAGACAGCAGTGTTCAAATGTCGTTTCCGTTGTTCTCCGTGTTGTTATGGTATCGCTAGAAATAGTCCGAACTACTACTTTTTTTTTTTTTTTTCCCTTTCCCCTCGATGTTAACGAAACGAAGAGGGGAAAGGTTGTAAAAATGGCCAGTTGGCTATTTTGACAGTTTGGTGTATGGACATCAAAACATATGGGTGCCTTTTATTTTTTTTTTAATAAAAGAAAGGTTGTCGCCGTTTCCTTCGGGACATCCGTTCAAATCGGAACGATAAGGAGACGATTGATCCGCATGGCCCCGGTGAAAGGATGGCACGCATAAATCGATAAATTGTCCATTTAAAAAATAAAAGTTTGTCCATTCTCTGGATAAAGAATATTTGCTGAGTTCTCGCCTGAAAAGGAAAAAATAAAAATAAAAAATAATCCAGAAAGGAGCACGTGGGCCTACCGGTAGTGTGTTTGGACGGAGAAGGGCCCTTTTAACGAGGAGGCGACGGCCCCTCCAAAGGTTCTGTCGGTGAAGTCTCGATTGATCTGCTTTTCTGCGTCTGTGCATAAAACACTTCCAGATTCAGGCGCTTAATCTAACCTTCTTTGCTGGCGGGACCTCGCCCCAGATACGAGTGACAACCGTCCTCAATCCCCCAAAATGGCAAAATGTCCATTTCTGTCATTTTTTTGGTGAAATTTTGTGACTCATTTCTGATCCAGAGGGGGAGGATGCGCGGGCTCGTGCTGATGATATATTGAAGAAGGGCAGCTTTTTCCCAAAAATTGAAAAAAAAAGAAAAGAAGCCGAAGAAGAAGAGAAAATGAATAAGGAGCCAAAGGGTGTCTAGCAAACGAGGTTTTCATTTTTATTTACTACCGTTTCGGTCTTGCACGTGATTTTTTTTTTTTTCTTCCCTCCCCGGGATGTCGTGCACGAGAATTTTTTATGCGCGGGCTAATTTGCTTGGATGGCTCGTGTCCATCATGTCTTGGTTCTGTTACGTCGTTTGTATAATTTCTCTGCCTCCATCATCTATCTACCAAAAATCCTGTCTCCTTCCTGCTGTTCTCCCTCCCCCACGCCCTCCCTCCCTCCCTCTCCCCGCGTGGAAGTTATTGTGGTATGAGATATTTTCTGCCCTTATCCTTTTTCATGTCGTATCCTTTTCGCTTATCCTGTCGCCCTTTTTTTGTTTTTTTGCCCCTTGCTGTTATCTTTAAGAGAGAGAATAAGGAACAATGCCGATCCTCTGTTCGTGTCATTTTGCTGTCTTTTTCTCTGCCATCCCAGAGTAGGCCGTATCGTTTTTTCTAAAATCCTGCCTCGTCATCCGTCGGATGATCAGAGCGTCTTGACTCTGGAAGGATTTTTTTCTCCCCTTGAGCTTTTCATAAAATTTGGAGCGTCTTGACTCTGGAAGGATTTTTTTCTCCCTTGAGCTTTTCATAAAATTTGGACCGTCGGAGGGCTGGGAAAGAACTACAGGTAGCGGTAGTAGGAATTTCGAATGTAACGGTAGACGAGAGAGAATGGAAAGGGGGGGGGGGGGGGGCAAACGAAGGCGAAAAACGAGACTTTTCTTTCATTTCCTTGGCTGTACTCGCTGGTGAGGGTCAAATTCTGTGGTGGGCTGTTTTTAAGCTTTTTCTCTTCTTGGGTCGTCCTTCGTTTCCTTCTTCACTCTGGTTATTAGTCTCTTAATTCGTAATCACTACTTGCTTTTTCGTAAATATATGTCTATCGGTTTGCATATCGCCCTGTGACAGCCGCCGTGTGTGGGGGGGGAGGAGGGAGGTGCATGGTCCTTTTTCTTTTCTGTCTGTATGATGACAATCCATTGTTTACGGGTTTTCACTTCAATTTGTTCTCTAGACTTCTTACGATTATGAGGTGATCAGGAAAAAAAAAAAAGAAGTTGTCGTTACTCTGTATATAACGTGCGTGTTTTTGGTAATCTGAGAGCTCGTCGTGTTTTCCTCTGAATTTCAAAAGATTTGATAACGATTGCTAGTTTTGCAGTCATTTGTTCAAGTGTGTATTTGAGGGAGAGCGTTGTCACATCCCGAGTTCCTTGTCTTTTCTCTCACTTTCTCCGTACGGCTCACCGGGCAGTTCTTTTTTGATGACTATGTTTGACGATATATATGTGTGTACAAATAAATAAATAAGTAAATACAAAAATAGATAAATAAATACATAAATAAATACATAAATAAATAAATGTTAATCAGCTATATTCGGTCTGCGAAGGTTTGAATTTCTTGCGTGTCACCCTTCTGCTTCTTGCGTGTCAGCGTTGCATGCAGAGTGGCCACCTTTTTTGTTTCTTTCTTTTAGTACAAGAGAAAGGAGACTGGGATGAGTCTCCAGCCTGAGACTGTGCCCCCTCTTCCTCACTGGAGAACAGAACTTGCATCAAGTTGGGAAAAAAAAAACAGAAAAGAAAAGAAAAGAAAAGAAAAGAAAAGTGAACGGGCGACTACCACTTGTCTACATTCTTCGTTTTTGTTCGTTGATAGGGGACTTCTTCCCTTTACTACCGTGCACATCTCACCGCGAACACAACGCACCCTCACGCTTATCATGACTGTATCTGGCCAGACAGATAGCTTGTGTACATTCATTGTGAAGGTGCGTTGTGTAGTCGGGGGAAGACGGTATAGTAGTGTGCTAAGTAGTGCACTACCCCTAACACAACGCACCCTCACACGTAGCGTAATACAGATACCTCGTGTACATTCATGATGGAGGTGTGTTGTATTCGGGATAAGATGGTATAGTAGTGTGCTATAGTACTGCGTTATAGTAGTAAGCGTTAATCGACTTTGATTTATTGAACTAGATTCTACAATCAAATCAATTAACTAATTAAGTTAATGTGATCGGAGAATTGAGAATAGAAGTTTCAAGGCTGATGTGCACAAATCTTGACGTTCTTTTTTTTTTTTTCCCTCTTATTTGCAGCTCCTATTTCTTAGTGGGGAGAAGCAGGTGTGAGAATTGGAGGATGCACGACATACAGAAGAGCATACACGTCCACAAATAGACACGTCGAAGGAGTAACTAAAATACACTTAAACCACCGGTCCCCCGTACAACCCGGCCCTAACTCACAGGGACTAGGGGTTTTCGGTGGCGGGGGGACCGATGGTTTAAGATGATAGATACGAGGGAAAGTTGGAGCGGCACCAAATTCGTGTCATCCTTGGGCGGGGCAGCCGTGAAAATTGGAGCGATACAGAGAAAATAAGCTTAATTAAATGCATGGATGGCCTCCCTGCGCTTCTAAGGATGACCGGTGGTTTAAGATGATAGATACGAGAGAAAGTTGGAGCGGCACCAAATTCGTGTCATCCTTGGGCGGGGCATCCGTGAAAATTGGAGCGATACAGAGAAAATAAGCTTAATTAAATGCATGGATGGCCTCCCTGCGCTTCTAAGGATGACATGCAAGCACAAATCGAGACATGGACCAAAAAAACTAAGAAAGAGACGAAAAGAAAGAAAACCAAAATGAAAATGACAGTTGAATCGATAGACAGTTGATGGTTCACTGACTAGTTTTTAGTCCTGCCACCGGAGATGGTGCTAAAGCTTTTTTCGTCGGCGATTCAGAGAAAAACTGGGCTGATGATGTCAACCAGAATTTCGCTCATTCATCTTTCTCCACATCCTTGGCTTCCCATCTGATTCATCGTCAACTCTCCCCACCCTCCCCCGTTGTCCTCACCCTGCCCCCAAGACCGTGTACTTTTTCTGTTCTTTGAGGCCTTCATTATTTGCTTTTTTTGGAGGGAGGAGCGGTGTTTGGGGAGAAGGGGTGAAGTAAAGAAGGGCCCGAGGTGAGTGTCGAAGGACATCCTGTATCACTGGCACCTTTTGGGTCCAGGTGCAGGCGCTCGTGTGATGGCTTTTCTAATCAATTGCATTGAGTGTCGAAGGACATCCTGTATCATTGGCACCTTTTGGGTCCAGGTGCAGGCGCTCGTGTGATGGCTTTTCTAATCAATTGCATTGTTTCCACCTTCTGTTCCCTCCGTGCACGATGACGCCTACACGTGTACGCGTCTTCTTGTCCTGTAATGTGCGCGCCTACAACTGGACATGCACCAGGACATGGTTCAGAGCCTGGACCTGAACCAAGACCGGGCATTGCACAATCCAGCCACGTGTAGGGGGGGGGAACTTGCAGTCGGACCTTTTACTTGTTTTGTCTTTTTCTAAGAGGACTTGTATTATATTGTATGCTGGAAATTGGGTCAGTGTCCCGTACATGAGGTAAGAGTCGGTCGTGTTGAGAACCTGAACACGTGTAAGAAATGTATAACTCGGGGTGTGTCGGGACAAGCGCACAGGTACGAGACCGATAAGCATTCCGAGGGAGATGTGCCAGGGTAACCCCGGGACACAAACCGGTGCCAGCATCGGGACAGTTCCAGAAAACCTGTATGGAATATTATCAGCACTTGTAAGGGATCAAAATACGTGTTCCCAGGGCACCAGGACATGCTCGGGGAGCTGAGCCGTATAATCCTCAGAGCAGATAAAATTGCAATGACCGGAGAACTTCTGTTCACTGGTAATCGAACGTCGGAACCCCTGAGGTGGCCCGTGATC